AAGATGGAGGAGGTCGACTAGGACTAAGACTAGGATGCCGGAGCCACTCAGTAGTTCGTACCGCAGCCGTCGGTGCGCACTTGTGCATGATCCCCCAACACAGTCTCCAGATTCGGCCGACTGTACAGCAGGCAGAGTTTGGCAAGAAACCTGTTTCAGAGGATCGACTGCGAAGAAGAAATACAGAACAGATACTGTTTTGCCTTTAGGTCAGTTTTGAAACAGCGGTGGCGAACGTGCCACAAACCCAGACCGACTAGGACAACTGAGATCAGAGCAATGAGAGCATCTCTTATGCCGCATTGGTGCAGCTCTGCATTTTGGGCTACTTCCTCGTTCATGCCTTTTCTGATCTCATAAGGCTCTCTGCTCTCAAATCATGTCCACGTAGCAATCTCGGACACTTATTGCCATGCCTGCAGTTGCGTGTGTGTGAGTCGAAACCCTGAACCCCTGACTTGCGGTGGAATGATCCGTGTCCGGGTCGCCAACCCTAGCCAACACGAAAACCTCCCAGGCCGTCCAGGCCGCTCAAGGGTAAAACAATGCACATCCGTCATGCATACCTACATGTATACGCACATAATCATACATACACTTCAGCACGCTACGTCGCATTGCATGGAGACATGCAGACAGACACAGACAGACAGACATACATACATACATAGTATAGTACATGGCTACATCAACAAATACATACACGCCTGCGTGCTTGCGTACGTACATACATACCCACATGCATACATGTACATACATAACATAAAATCATATATACATATGCATGCAGTACAGCACCGTGCATTGTATTAGATTAGTACATGCGTGCATACATACACGTATGCCTGCATACAGACCTATACATAAGCACAAGCAAAAACAGACGTATGCGTACAATGCATACACCTGCATACACATACATGCATGCATGCATGCATGCATAGGATATACACATACACAAAAATACACGATATACGTAGATACATGCATACACGAACATACATACATGCACACATATACACATACATATGCACATCACATACATACACATACACGCATACATACATACGTACATAGATAGAGACCGGCCTTCAAAATGCCTATGTCACGAGATGTGAATGAAACGAGCTGTTTGTTCATGTGTCTCACCGTCTGATGGGATTTGGAGGCATCACGCAGTGTGAGCTGTTTCCTCTACAGGTTCCTGCAGCGTGAAGCTGAGGCCGTAATCTGACACTCGTAATCTAGAGTAACTACTGGTAGTCGAGCATGAAGGATGTCCACCAGCGTGCCTTGTCATGTCGTCATCGCTCTCATCACCTGTCCTTGGCATAACCTACGGATGTGATTGCCCCAGGAGGCATAACCTGACTCGAAACAGGAGACGAGATTTGCATCATGAACCCCAAACCGGTACGACACCTTTGTACCGTTGAAGAGTTAAGCCAAGATGAAGCATGCGAGTGACACTGGGCACCAGTTGTATTAGCTTAAGGAGAGGACGGGTTGCAAGATGGCATGTCTCGACATGTATGCGTATGTCGTGCACATTTATAATTGCTTGTTTTAGCATGCAATGCATAATCATATTTTCTTATTCTTTCGTGTATTGGGCGAGAGGGAGTGGGAGACAGAAAGACTCGGCTTCACTCATTCAGCTCTACTTCAGGCGGGGAGAAGCTGGCCCAGCTGCAGACCTGGGCGGCAGCCAACGCGGTGTCCTTGCGATTTAAGTCAAAGGAGTCGGACGGCCCAAAAGGGATGCCCTTGGCCACACTGAGATATTCAATGCAAGTGGAGTCCAGCGACTACACAAACTAGACAAAATAGGCAAGCACGAGAACGATGGGTATACTGTACTGCATGCAGCGCGCCACTGAACTGTCAGCTCCCTCCCTCGCCTCCTTCCACTCCCTCCTCTGTCTCTCTGACATCGATTGTCGCTCTTTCTCTCTCTCTCTCTCTCTGTCTCTCTGTTGGTGATCCAAACCCTTGAACTTGTTGCAGATGCCGAAGGAGACCTGCCAGTTTCTGCGCGAAGTTACGCGCGATGAGGAGTCACCCACGAAGCGAGTCAACGAAGTTCAGGTCGGTGGCGTTGCCTTTGGTCCTGGGGCTACGTTGAGCATCCTTTCTCTTTCTCCTCTCTTTTTGTGGCTGTCGAGGGGATATGTGATACGAATTATCGACAGCAATTTAGGGCACGGTGGCCGCAAACAGTGATTCAGGCTCGTTCACCAGCAAGACCGTCACGAAAGTGCCTCGCCCTCAGCTCCGCAGGAGGGACAGCTTTGATAATTGAGTTGGTTAGAAGAAACACTGAAACGGATCAGGACCGAGTTCTTCTGGAAGTTCGATATGGCCTATGAGCTGGAGGCCATCCGTGGTGTCGGTGCGGACGATTCCGATCGGCTGTTGATTTGCAGCCGAAGTGGCCACGTCGAACTGAAGACGAGCACCAAGTCCTCACCACATCCAGAGACCAAGGTCGCACAGCTGCGAAAAGTGTATCGCTCCTCTCGCCTCGCCCCCTTGTGGCCCCCCAAAATGAACAAGTTAGGCTGAAGGCAGTGCAACAAAGTCAAGAAAGTAGTGTTCTGACTCGCTTCCTGGGTCCTGGGAGGTTTCAACTTGCGAAGAAGTGAACATCAGCTTCCTGCTGAAGCAGCTCTTGGGCTCCCCAGCAACTCCCGCGTTCAAGATCGATCGCTTGTCTCCCAAGTGCCGGACGCCCAGGCGTAACCCGGAGGTTCAGGAAGCCGTCAATTTTGGTCGGAGCTACCTGACATGGATCTGCAAAGTCAGCAAGTACTTTGAGCGACTTCACAGGCTTCACCCACAGAGGTCCACCACTCCCACAGGCTCTTCCGACCTGTTCGTCCCTGCACTCCCCCTTTTCATCAAGGGCTCTGCCAAAGCTGGGTCCAGTGCCGGCGGCAGCCAGTCCCTGGTACTCCTGGGCGAGGACACAGAGGTCACCCAGCACGTCGTGACTGCAGCTGATGGCAATCGCCTCCTCGGGGAGGAATCAAGAACCCTTGGTGAGCAGCGTGCGAACCTGATGGAGGCCGGACCAGCTTCTGGGCCTTGTGGCCCTTTGGGCCTGATGAAAGTAACTTGTCTGCTCCTGGCCACTCCAACTTTTTCCTGCAAAAGCCCAATCAGACATGGTCCTGAAACAAGACATGCCAAAGAGTGTCTTGAACAGTTTGTACGTAGCATCACAGCCCTAGACTACCACAGTTGTCTGGCAAGGTCATGGCGGGTAAGGGCAAGGGAGCTGTCGTGGCATGTGGCTCAATGTCAAGCGTGCTGGCAGTGCTGCCCTACAACGTTAAATTAATCAATACGACCCTTCGAAGCATACGTTCGTTCAGTCAAAGCGACCCAAGGCCAAAAGAAACTGGCAGAGAACGTAGGCTAGCAGACAGCAGACAGCCGAGGGTATGGACTTGGGCCTTTTGTCCAGCTGTAGCAGGCACAGAGAAACCGCCACGCCTTGGCAGTTGAATGCTGCCCCTGCCAAGCCGCAAGTGGAATTTAGAAGACGGATGGCGGAAGTCCTGTTTGTGTTTCGCATCTGTACACATCCAGGTAGAAGGCCCGAGGGCCACGTGTAGCTTTGTCGCAGGTCTTCCCGGATGATGGCAGCATATATACATGGATGGAGTCTTTCCGGGCTCTGATCTTGCAACACAGCCAACAAGTGGTCGTGCAATGGTCAGAAATGATCGATTATGTCGAGCACATGCTCCGAATGCAGCTGGTGGCGGCCATTGGCAAAGAGGTAAGGCCTGCTGAGTTCGTGGGCGGCTGAGAGCATGTCGACAGACGACTCCAACACATCCTTCGGTTTATGATGTGCTCCAAGACAGGGATGATGCTCATGCATGTTCGCACGACCTTGTGCGATGTGCTGAGGCCTCATACATGCGCTTCCATTATCGGAAGTTGTTCCGAGAGGCCTACCAGCCAACCCCTTGCAGGCACGGGGAGCAAGACACTCAACAAATTCTCTAGCAACCCTGGCCCTGCAGTTTCGCCATCCGGCGGTCAACGAAGCATGGGCCCGAAGGCACCATCAGCATTGAAGAGGAGGCAATGGTGCAGTGCTAGCTAGTGAATAGTGTTACTGCACAACTTTCGGAGCATCCCGTGTGCTGAGCCACCCTGCTATCTTGAAGGCTTTGGGTTTACAAGACGAAAGCAGCATCAAGAGCCCGATTTGTGCCATCACGGCTGCCGGCCGCACCCCATCAACGATGACGTTTCCCCTGAATGCCTCGACGACGATCTCTTTCGGAGGACAAGTCCACCTGCACGCTTGGCTTGACCACAAATTCTCCGGGCAGTCATCCTCCAAGCTGTCCTTGGTGTCCCGGGCTCGCCAGTTCAGCTCCTTCATGGTGCTTATCGGACGAGTTTCGTCCTCCACCACCTTTGACCCGAAGTATGCGGCCTTGGTACAGAATAAGGATGAGCTGGAAATCCCTCTGGAACTATCTACGATCCCAACTCCCAAGGAATTCAAGGATGCTATCGAGTCTTTGTCGCCGGAGCAGAAGGAGTTTGCCAAGGCTTTTCGAGCGATGCAGCTGGAGAGCACGCTCGGCACTGAGATTCAGAGCCGACTCAGATGAAAAACTTGGGGACATGGGCTGAACACCCGAGGCTCTTTGCTGTCTTGGTCGTGCAGATAAAGCCACAGCTCGAGAAGCTCCTGAACCTGGCCGATGATAGCTTGACCAAGGATACGGGGAAATATAGGGACCTAGGCCCAAAGCATTCCGACATCAGGAACTCCGACAATTTCCCTTGCAAGCGAAGTGTGGTTTGAGTTGGTTTGGACTGCGAACAGGAGATAAAGCTCACGCAGGACTTGATGCAGCGACTTGTCACATTTCACAAATTCACATGCTGCCACAGGCCTCTGTTCCTGTTAAAGTCTGCACGGCATTGGATGTCTCACTCTAAGGCTCTTCATCAAGTATCAGATCCCCAGCGACCTCCTGTCCTTTACCAACGACCTCCTTCCGAACGGCCATGGATCAGCAGGGGAGCGCCTGCAGGTCGTGAAGGGACAGGCCCGTGTCGCGTAAAGTTTTATTTAGGCATACGGCATATGTCCCAATTTGTTACGGTTGCAGAAAAGCGTGGATATTGAGGGGGCAAGCATATTATTATATAAATATGTATATATGCATATATATATATACATATATATATATATATATATATGTATATATATATATATATCTGTGTGCGTATAATAATGTGTATACACACATGTTTGTATATCTATGTGTATGTATCTGTACCTGTCTATCTACCTATCTATCTACCCTCCTCCTATCTATCTATATGTGATGTGTACGTGTGTGTATGTACATATAGCCACTTATCATTCTCCAGTTGTGTTGAAGCCCCTAGAATTGAAGCTTTCGCTCTTGCATGTATGTCCATGTCCTTTGGCACTGTCGTGCTCAGCGGCGACTTAGCCCCGTAGCCGCAGCCACAGGTAAAAGCGATGCACGACATGATTGAAGTGGAGCTCCTTAGCCTCATTGGCTTATAGCTTACGCAGTACGGTCCAATTCAAACAACGGAGGCAAGTTCCCTGTCAAGTTGACTTCGCTGTCGTGCGAAGGAAGCGCGAAGAGCTCGAGCAGCGAAGGAAGGAGGACTCGTAGCCAGGGAAGCTTGACGATTTTCAAGTTTCCGGTGCTGTCACCGGTGGTAAATATTGTCAGAGATGGCACGAGGATTTGCAAGATCTTTGCAGACGTTGAGGGTCTTGCGTTTCTTGCGATGTACTCTGCAAAGATCCGCCGCCAGACAGGAGGAGTATCGGCGTCTCGAGGAAGAGAAGAAACGCCTCCAAGAGGAGGAAGCCCAACGGCTTGTCCATGATTACAGTAGGTCTATTGGCTTGCTCTGTTTGCGGCAGAGAGAGTGAGAGAAGGAGTGCAGAAGAAAAATAAGTGGACATCACATTGTGGCGTAAGGCTTTCACATCCGGAAATACCAGGACAGCCTTGGTAGACACAGACAGACCACATTCCTACGTCAGCCTACGAGCTTGCCGACAACAGTGAACGGAGGGAGAGAGAGGGTGAGAAATCAAGGAAGCAATAGCTGGAAGAGAGTGTAATTAAGAGCTGATGCGTGTCATGCAGGTTATTGTACTCTGACGTGTCCACTTAGCAGCATTTTCACGCATAGACGGTGGCCCAAGGTTTGTGCTGGGTGAAGCCCAGAAACAGGAAGAAGATGGGGGAAAGGAATGGCTCTCTCTAGAGGGAAACGGCCAATTTTCACGCCAATCCGGTGGTCAGAACGCAGACAGAGGCGAGCAGTGGGGGTTGGTTTGCTGTCATACCCCTCGCAAGCAAGAGGGAAGGCAGAGAAGGGAGGCCCGACCGACTGCAGAATGAAGCATCGTGTTCGCTCTCCATCAAATCAAAGCATTGATGATCCTCCGGTGTACTCTGAGTCATTGCTGTCGCGGAATGATGTGGATTTCGATTTGCACCAGCTGTAACTGGTCCTGCACCCGACTGCCTGACACTGTCCGTCCTGACCCAAAGGCCTCCCTCGCTTTGCAAACGGGAGAGCGCTTCGAGCGCGGGTCCAGACGATGGACCGGCCCCAAAGAAAGGAAGGAAGGAAGGAAGGAAGGAAGGAAGGAGGGAGGGAGGGTGCGCGGGTCATCTTGGGCGTGGCATCAAGTAATTCACAAGGAGAAAGAGAGGGAGAGGGGTGGTCCATCTATCATCCCTCCGGCAGAAATGCCGCGACAACCCACCCCGCCAGAAAGACCACACCCAACTGGCCCTGGTCGAGACCGGCAACAAAGCTCTGGGCGAAGCCATGAAGATCAATCGCGTCCCGGAGCACAAGCCTCATCGTCATCGACAACAAGCCCCGCGACCGCCTCTAGACAACAACAGCCTCCTGGAACGCAACGTCCTCTTCAACATCAACGCGAACCTCCAGCACAATACGCCGCAGAACCCAGACAGAGCCGATTACCTCCTCTACCACAACCTCCGATGAACCCGGGCTCGGAGTCCGAAACCAGTTGGCCCAGCGAAGACCCGACGCCAGCCGATGCTGGGGATGCCTCTAGCATGATGCAACACCCGGCGGGACACCGAGGAAGCGGCGACAAAGATGGCACAAACATGACAGAACGGGGCATCTCCCCCGCAGTGCCTGACCAACCTGCACAAGTTCTCCACTTGCTCAAGCAGATCCTTGATGAGCTACTCCATGAATCCTTTGGACAACCGCGTGAACGAGTTACACAGTTGGCTTACCAAGCCTGTTATCACATTCACCGACTACATGCCAACCAGGGACATGCTACGGGGACAGCCACCGATGGGGAAGGCCCTTCCCCCAATGCCGCCACGCAGCTGGACGACATCCATACAGGGGAGAACCCCTCAACCGTGGTCTTCTGGCTCAATAACCCCCTAGTCGAGGCCGAGGCCACACTGGCAGGACTGGTGCAGCATCATGAAAATTTGCCAACGAGGTTTACCCGAAAAGAGCTGTCGCGAGTTCAAGAGCTACTCAAACAAGGGAGGCTTCTTTTCAAGAGTTGGGGGAGAGAACCCCAAGCACCTGGCACACAAGCAGGGTATGCCTGCTTGAGCCGAGCGCTGGAATCCGTTGACTTTGCGGAACTCGCTTTGGAGGAAGGGGGCATTGCCACCATAGAGGAGGCCTTACAAACGGTGCTGGATGCCTGTAGAAGAGCTTCATCTTACATGGAATCCCTGCTGATTTGGTTGCAAAACCGTTTCGCCTCTGAACATGCGGCTGGTGCTCCTTTTCCTACCAAGAAGAGAAGGACTGAAAACCCAGGTTTGGAGACGGCCAGTGGCAGTAACCAGCGACCCAGCTTTGTTGGCCGACCTCCCGCCCATGAACCGACTGATGACGACCCTAGGAGCACTGCAGCAGACCAACCTTCTGTACCACTTCCTCATCACCGACTCCAACTACATCCTCAACACGGCGCAGAACATGGTCGTGGGCCTGCTGAAGGGGAGTCCACCCCTTTCCACATCCTACAAGCACAAAAAATCCTTGAAGATGTGATCCCTTTCATGGAACAAGAGGTTGCTACCAGGCTTCAAGCTGAACACAGTTTACTGTTTGCATGGACCACTAACCTGTGGGGTCACCCCATCGCGCTCGTGGAGGATAGCAACGAAGACAACCACGCGGGCGCGGACATCGCGGGCGAGGCAACCTCTGAAGCCACAACGGTAGCGGCGGCTGGGGGAAGCCCCATTACTCCAGCTACACCACCTACGCAGCTCCTACCTCGACGTGGTCCGGAAGACCCACAACGACCTCTACTGAATAACGAGAGGCCTGTTCCTTTTCAGAGAAGAGAGTCACACCGAAGAAGGCGCATGCATGCTATCTTCGATCCCAATTCGGACTCGGAGAGAGCACACTCAAGCGGGGATGATGCCCCCGCCTTTTAAAGGCTGCAGCGCGTTCAAGTTCCCGGGAGGTTAAGTTAACCCTCCCCAGTCCTTGCAAAGAAGCTCTGTTGGCTTGCAAAACCAAAGCCGCTCTTTGCCCCTACAAGTAACCTAGTCCGGCCGAACCCAAAGTCTTCGTTTCTGCAACTGTCGTTTTGTGTTTGAGTGCTGTTCTTTGCTACCCTCGTACCAGTGAGAGCCGGCCGCTTACAGAAACCTGAGTGACCTGTCCGGGACCTTTAGTAGTTTCCTTTCACCTGTGTTGATATTGATGCTGCTTGATTTTGATCCCAGGACAGTTGCTCATTCCCCTTGATACCCTACCTAATTAGGGGGACGCCCCTGCTGACTTTCGTCGATCGTTGAGTATCGTCGATTCCCTTTGTGGCACTGATCGCTTTAAGCCCTGAGCCCACCTTTTGAGCTCCCAAAACCGTGTTACATTTGGTTGCGTTTGTAGTGTGTGCACCAAAGCATCAGAAGCCACTCCGAAAGCCGATGCATGCAGGGATCCGAGGGCGAAGCACGAATGCATGCTAGCTGCTAGTCGTCTTCAGGTTGATCCATCGTGTTGATGTGTTGATGTCTTTGGACTCTTGTGCATTATATATCGCCTGCGTGAATACCATGTATGGATCCCAGACATGCTGTAGCGAATGCTGAGTCAGCGAACTTTTCCCCAGTGCTCTTACTTGCTGTTTCGATCGCAGTCTGCCTCAGCTTGCATGCTTGCAACATACTGCCACCCGCAACCGTCGGGGGCGCACTTGCGCGCGATGTAGGGGGTTTCCCCCTGCATCATAGCCCTGGCGAAAGAAAGAGCGAGCGAGAGGGGTTCAACCCCTGCACCATAGCCCTGGCAAAAGAAAAGAGCGAGCGACAGAGACAGAGCGAAAGACGGAGAGTATTGCAGATACCTTTCCAGTCAGAAGCCTCAACTGCCTCAACTCAGCTTTCACGTCCCCTAAAGTCGGGAGTCGCTGGTGCTTCGAGGTACAAACTCTACTTGTACCCCATGTCCAGAGCAACAAGCGAAAAACCCGCGCAGGCAGAGCTCAGTCAGGCGCCAGAAAAGAGTGCTTTCGGAGGCCCTCCGAGGTCTAAGCACTCGCCGCAAGCAGAAACGGGCACAACAGATGTCGATCGGTTGAGCGCTGGACCTGTGACAACAAGAAGAGGCACAGGAGAGACTTGTTCTCCCATGTACGACTCACCCAACACACTGCCGGTGCGAAGATTCGGCATTCGTAGATGATTGAATATAACATCATCGACGCGCGGACGGGATCGGATTGTGACAGTACTCCGTATATCTTACGGGAAGCAACAGCCACCCGCTCAGGAGGCCCGGGAGGTGCAGTTGAGGCTGCAGGACGACATTGAAGTTTCTCTCGCAGATGTCTAAGGTCTAAGGCCAGGTTTTGCACTTCCAGTTAGCCTGCTCGTCTAGAGTCTAGATGTTTCCTCCAGGAAATGCTGAACAAGCAATCAGAGTGCATGGACCAGATTCTGTTGCGCGGTGACGAGATGGCGTCACCTGAGAAATTTTATAGAAAGGCCAAGAAAAGTGGAGGATTCTTCGGTGGCATGGGGCGAGCCTTGTCGGGGGCAGTTCAGTCCCTTGGTGGCTCCTCATCAAGAGCGGAGAGGTGCAGGGACACCGACACCGCTCCACACTACGAAGCCAAAAGCCTGTGTTTGGACGGGGCAGCACCTCGGAGCCGGAGGAGGCTTTCTGCAGCAACTCCGCCCAGCTCCAGTAAAGCTGCAGTCGCGGCGCCACTGGAGTCAACATCCGCCGAGGCCCCAGAGCCGCAGGCGTCGCAGCCGTCGGAGCCATCGGAGCCATCCCAGGCCGAGGCCAAGCCCAAAACGACGCAGCAGCCACCATCGCAACCGGAAGCGGTGGAGGAGTCACTGGAGGCTCGTGACTACACCCAGGTTCCCAAGCAGCTGGACGAGCAATTCGAGAAGCTCGACCCCGAACCTTGACTGCTTTGCACGAGGCAAGCTCACTGCTGCTTCAGCAGGATTTGTAGAGATTGGGCACTTGCCGGCAACGCTCAGGACAGCGCCCTTCGGCCCACCATCATAAACCCCGGCAGCACATGGTCGAAACGATCGCAAGCTGCATTGCTTCTCGCTGTTCATAGTTGTTGTCTGTTGCGGCCCCAAGCCCTTTCCTGCCAAACGACCCGCTTTTGGAGCTGAAGGTTTTTCTTGACCTTTGCTCAGGCTGGCCGCTGCCCAGACGAGGTCGTTAGCAGCAGACGAGCAGAAGCGCCAGCTTGCTGCATGTTTGGGAGACTGCAAAGGTTGAGAAGTGCGGGACCAGCTCTCAAAGAAATAGGGGTGAAAGAGTTCCACCTCTTAAACAAGGAGAGAAGGACGCTGCCTTCGACCTGCTCGATGCCATCACAAAGTCAGGCATGTTCGACTTTCTTGTTGACTGGTTTGTCTATGGAAGCTTCTGTCATTGGCTCGATTTGGGATGTGTTGTACATCTTGCCCCACTCCTGCAGCAGGTGCCCTTCCACTCAGTAACCTGGGCCGCACATAGAGGGGGCATGGGGTTGCCCCACGAAGCCATTTTGCGTAGGTCGTTGGGTGCAGAGTCTCACCAAGTAAGCCAAAAGGTCAATGAGGAAATGCTGCTAAAGTTGGAAACAGGTTCTCCTTTGCTCAGGTCATGCAGAGTTGCACATCATCGTCGCAGCAACTCATTGCTTCGACAAGACGGTTACCGAAACGGTTGTCCAAGACAACGTCAACCCAATTGCAAAGGTGGAGCGGTCAAGCGGCTCGTTTAAATGCCTGTCTTTCTTAGTTTGCCTTTTCTGTGATTGCTGATCCTCGCCCAAGTTTGGATTGAGCTTCCCTGTAAGGCCTGATCATGGCCTCCACTGTCCATCAACAGCCAGCCGAATACCTGATGAACGAGTCTAGCCATGCACGCGTTATAGCAGATTCTCCTCAGCTTTTTCTGGAGGACGCTACAGAAGCGGAACCTGTTGCCTGATTTCCGTGCCACGAGTTTCCCTGATGCTTTTAAACATGATGTCGTGAAGTATGAACGGGCAGTTATGAAATTCCACCAAGTATCCATGCACACCAATGGCCGCCAGCATCAGCTGGCACAGGGAGCCATGCCAGAAATGCAGAATCGGCAAATCCCTGGACCAGTGTGTCGAGTCGTTTTAGAGTGAGCACCCGCCTCCTCAAGGCTGCTTCGGCGTTTGCAGGGCTGAGTTCTGTGCCGACCGAAGCAGCATATTCCTCAACTGTACAGTGTGAGGACGTGAGGCGTGGAAATTTCTCGGGTTGTGACATGTCTGCCTGACCTCGGCTGGGCCTTGGCCACTGCTTCCTCCTGTATCCCAGCAGTCTTCATACCGTGCAGGCAAGTTCTTCAGCGAGGCTCTCCTCTCTGACGCAGAGCGGCATGCCTTGCAAAAGGCGCGCTTGCATCGGAGTCATGACTTCAGATAGAGAGAGAGAGAGAGAAAGCAGGTGCTGCAGCTTGTCAGGGAAAGTTTGCCTTTTCTGGCGGACTCAGTGTACACATGTGACGGAGCTTCGTGAGTCTGCCAGCAGTGCGAAAGGAGCTGCGACGGGCGAGAGCCAATCACGAGGCCCTTGCCGTGAGAAGCATGGTTCTTGTTATCGTGTGAGAATGGCAGCTCAAGCTAGTCAGTTTGTGCTCAGAATCTCACGGCGGGAAGTCCAGTTGGGCTTGATGAGTTCTCGAACATGCTGCATGGCTACACAGGCCTGGCCTGACGAGGGGGCGCCACGATGAAGTAAACAGGTCTTTCGTTGTTTGGGAATGCGCTAGACCGTACCCGACAGAGTATAGATTTGTTTAAGGCAAGCAGACGAGTAAAAGAGGGGTTTGCCAGCGGCCATGGCAGTGGTCTTCGGTCGCAAAGGCCAGAGCAAACTGAAGGCAAGCAGCCGGCCCAGCCGGCCAAGCGAGGATGACGGTATCGGCAGACCCGGCAGGCCTTGGTGCCCGTTCTCCTATTATCGGTGAGGTAGG